TCAAACAAGTAAAGTCAATGGGGAAGCTGGCTGGAGATTGCAAATGGTGATCATGTGTCTGCAAAATGCTGCAATCATATGGGTTTCATCTAAGAATGACAGCAGGGATTGCTGCAACTGTTGCTGTAAGAATGCAGTAATATGATACCACATTTTACAACTGTCACTTAGTGATGGAATTTTTGATCCCAATTACGATTGTTAAATGAGATTATTGTATTTTTTATCAAAAGATGGTACATTGCCAACCCATTTTCTCAAAAATTTTAAAAGTACATACATTCCTATTAATACGTTCAGAAGTTGCCATATATTTTAGTAATCTATTCTGCTGGTGAAAATCAATAGTCAAGAGTCACATATTTTGTAACCAAAGATTATTTGGTTAGAAAGTTATATAGTTAACTGTTTCAAGTTACAACAGGCATTTAAAAAGTTACTTATGACCTATCTTCAAAGTTATGACTCCCCCCCCCATATGATCTCATTGCTGGCATTTGGCAACCAACTCGCATTTACAACCAGTTGCAGCATCCCACTGTCACATAACTGCAGTTTGCATTTTTTTTGCTCATTTCTGGCAAAAACTCTAATTTGATGGAATGTGAGTTGCTTAACCACATGATTCACTTAATGATCACAATGGCTTGCTTTACTACCATCATAAAAACAGTCATAAAATTGTGTCCAGTCAGTGGTGCCTCACAACAAAAATGTTGGTTTCAATTGTTGTCATAAATTAAGGACTATATGAATGCACCAATTGTAGTTATTCAGCACATTGTGATTTAATATATGTAAATTTAGTCAATAAAGTGTAATTTTTAAATTCAGTTTCCCATTGCATTATAAATTCATCCATTGGATATAAATTCATTGAATATGTTACAGTTCGAAAGACAGAATGGAAAAGGCAGCAGCGATAGCACTTAGACCTATATACCACTTCACAGTGCTTTACAGTCCTCTCTAAGCAGTTTACAGAATCAGCCTATTGCCCCCAACAATCTGGGTCCTCGTTTTACTGACCTCAGAAGGATGGAAGGCTGAATCAACCTTGAGCGCCATCAGGATCAAACTCCTGGCAGTCGACAGTTTTAGCCTGCAATACTACATTCTAACCATTGCGCCACCATGGCTCCGAAATGAAACCTTTAAATATATTAAGGGTGTGAATAAGGTTCTAGAAGGCTATATTTTCAGTGTTGAGCAAAAATCAAGAACATGGGGGCATAACCTCAAACTAACAGGAGAGAAGTTCAAAAGTAATGTTAGAAAATATTACTTCACAGAAAGTATTGGAAGATTGGAACGAACTTCCAATGCAGGTAGTGGGACATTCATTAGTAATTGAGTTTAAACATATTTGGGATAAACACATATCTAACATCCAACAAAAATTAATAAAAAATAAAAATATAAAAATGAAAGAAAACAATAAAATAATAAATAAATTTAACCCCTCTCCCCTAAGGTTAGACTTGATGGATCACTGGGTCTTTTTCTGCCATTAGTTTTCTATATTTCTGTTTCTATTTAGCTCAAAGGACTGTTGTGAGCAAAATTACTGGGATAATATAAATTAGTAAGGATGAATGCCATAAATAAATAAATAAATAAAAATATAAAGTGGAATAGTAAATTTGTAGTATTGCTTGCAATTTAAGATAACAGAACCAAAATACTGCTCTTGACTAGCCCAATAATTTGATATTGTAAGAGTTTTGGGAGGAAAATAAGAGTGTCTCTGCTTATATTGATACAATTAGAAGATTAGACAAGCTGGTTTATTAACTTAGCAAATGTGTTTATATACATTCATTCATTGGGCTCTTAAAATATAGAAGAGATTACATGTCATATAGGAAAATAATTATTGTAGAGTTTCAGATCAATTGCTGAACCCCTATATAGCCAGTCAGCCAGATCCCAATCATGAATTCCTTTCAGTTGAGAACTGACCTGATAGAAGAGCTGAAGATCCATGGCTCTCATTATTCCATCCTTAATTACTTCCTAGCTGTCCAAAATGGATTATGATGATAAGGAAAGGAAGGCTAGCTATTTGGCCCCAGGCACATATAGAAATAAAGCTTTTCTAATTTCAGTATCTCTTAAAAGCATTCAGGGAGCCATCATAAAATATTCAATTGTCCCCTTTCTTCCATTGTTTGTTTTAACCAGAATAATGTGTTATGTGTGTACTACAGCTAATCTTAACTGGAATTGGAGCTCCATATTAAACACTAGTTTAAGATTAAAGATACCTGATAGGATTAGCTAAGCCAGCAAAAAGTATACACTTTGAATTTAATTTTTAGTTTCTGTTTTAGCTAAATTAAATGGGTTAAACTAAAAGTGTCCCATAAAATTAATAATCCAGCCAATCACACTTGAACCAATGTGCTATACCAGTTTAGCCTATACCAGTGGTGGTGAACCTATGGCACGGGTGCCAGAGGCGGCACTCAGAGTCCTCTCTGTGGGCACGTGCACTATCGTCCCAGTCCTAGGCCTTCAGCTGGGTTTTATAAAATCTTTTCGCTTTAGGTCTCCTCCGCTGTGTGCAAAAAAAAAAAAAAAAAAAGTTCAATCAGTCAATTTCAACCTCGCGGGAAAAAAAAAGACCTTGCAAAGTTGGAATTGATTGATTGAACTTTTTAGTCCCACCCAGTCTGCCATTACCACTGCAGCCATGCCCACCCAATGGGCAATTGACCACACCCACCCGGCACATGACGATGCATAAGTGGGTTTTGGATTGCAGTTTGGGCACTCAGTCTCAAAAAGGTTTGCCATCACTGGCCTATACAGTATCTTGCTGATTCAGAAAACAGGATCAAGAAAGGTGGATATTGCAGGCACTATGTATTATATGAACCCTAGACAAAATAAAAAAGTTACATTTGATCTGGCTTAGACACCACCATGTAATTTCCAATAGAACATTATGTGAGTAAGCCATTACTTTGACTATCTGCAACATTTACAATATACAATTTTGCTAATATATGACATCTGCCAATCTGTCTGTATTATGTCAGAGGTTACTTCTTTTACATGAATGGTATATTATGGAAAATTTTGGTGCATCTAATGTAACCTAAGTCAACATTCCACTGGAAATGTAGTTCCAATGATTTAATTCAGTTATTTCGGTGGATTGGGTTAAAAGAAAAAGCCAATACTCTACATAGAAGCATTCCCTATACAATTTCTGTAAAAAAATAATACTGTTAAATCTTAAAGTAATTAGTCAAATGTATGTGCCTATTTTCACAGAAGTGTCACTGAATATGGTGGAACCTATTCCTACAATAATTTGCAGATGATTAAAGATTTGTCTATTAAAAATAAGGACAGCTGAAAATTGTAATACAATACAATTGCAATTTGATATTATTAGGATCTGCTGCAAATTGTTAAATGTCAGCATACTTTTTGGATACATTGATTGTAGTACCATCAAATATGGCATGTAGAAATGAAGCAACTCCAGAAGTCTAAAGTCTGTCATTTTAATTTTAGAAGGATTCTTTTGTCTTAAATTCTGGTAAAAAGTATTTGAGAGGAAGAAAGTTTTGACAAACCAAGTGTATTAAAAGTAGATATAAATGAAAGTACACCCCCTCAAAACATGTTGAGGAATAAATTGCTGAAGTTAAGAAATTTGGAAGGAGAGGGCTGGATGAATGTTCCCTATAAATTTCAGTTCTCATCCAGGCTCTATTTAAAATTTTAAATATACTGTAGATGCATATTCATAGCCACAGTCCCTATTTTTACATATTGCTAATAATTCTTTACAACCAAATGCTTGGTGTATAATATTAGTATATTAACTCTTCTGTGAGAAACTCAGTTTGTGTTGACTTGGTTGGGAACATCTAAATTGATAATATCCTTGAGGTAAATACATAGAAAATCAAACCTTGGAGATGAAGGGTGTGAGAGAACAGCTGTATCTTATAAAGCTGTTTGATAATGGGAAACTTCCATCAGTGGAACAAGAATTGGCAAAAATTATTAATTTGTCCTATAGTATATCTTCTGATTGATTTAAAGAAGATTTGGGCAATGTAAAAACGAGAGAAATATATGAAAATTATCTCCCTTGTTCTAGTGAAAGAAGTACTTATTGCGTTAAAATACTTTGATAGCAAATATATCATTGAATAGAGCTAATGTGATTTACGCTGCAAAGGAAAGTTGGACTAGAAGACCTTCAAGGGCTCTTCCATCCCTGTTCATTTTTCATTGTAAAAATTAGATTCCTCTGGAAGATTGCTGTATGATTCCTACGTGTGTGTGTGTGTGTGTGTAATACACATTATGTCATAACATGTTCATTTTGTAGATACAGTGGTACCATCCTCCTTTGTCCCTACCTCCTTTTTCTAACAAATATATCAGGATGTTTTGAGATATACATTACCCATCCACCCTTTTAAAAACAAACATGAAATGTTGTGCACAACACATTATATACTTTTCTTTGGCAATTGTACCCACAAACTGCCCCCTCAAAATGAAAAAAAAAAATAGTCACACAAATATATTTTATAGGCTTTTCTTGCTTACATTAGATGAGCTTATTCTAATACTTTAAAGACATCTGCTGTAGTAACTTACATAAGCAAATATTATGATTTTTCCTCACCAAACTCCTTCATATCAGTTTTGAAATGTGATTTAAAATTGTGGCAGAATTCTAGTATCATTTTGAGGAATATTATTATTTATTTGCCACCTATCTTGCCAGGGGGCTACTCTAGGTGTCTCACACCCATAAAAAAATGAAGAAATAAAAAGGAAGTTTAAACAAAGTGAAAACAAAATAGAACAATAAAATATGAACTATATTCTTTTATATATGAATGTTGAGTCCTAAATCAGCATTGCAATTTACAGGGAACTTTTAACAAAAATGTATCATTTAGATTGTAGATATATGCATATAGATATATTTATGCCATATATAGGTATTTGAAATGTTGTATTAATATTCTCTATGAAAAATAACGCTTGGGAAGAGAGAATGAAATATAGACATACCAGCTAGGGTAGGTAATGTATGGAAAACACCATTCCTGTAAGAATGAAGTGAGCAACTTTTTTGTAGTAGGAGCTATACTTTAAAAAAAAATAGAAACGTCCTATAAGAGTTGCAATGGCAGTAATGTCACTGAATGGCCATAAGCAGAATGTTCAGTGTTGGGGTGTAAGTAATCTATCTGCTTTGCCCTTTAATACTTCAAAAAAGAGCCCCAAACTTAGATCTTGTAGTTGGCATGAGCATCCACAGAAGGGAGGCAGAAGAGAATAAATAATGAAATCTGTTGCAATACAAATTCCCTTTTGTATGTATATTCCAGTCATTCTTCCTATATTCTTTTAATTTATTCCTTTATCTGCTGGTGGTAAAAACGTAATTACTTGGTGAAGCAAATTCTAATTGCTGACAATATACCTGGTTGTTTTCATTTTTTTAAAAAAAACCCATGTGTACTTGCTACTTTACCTTTCAGAAATGTCTTAGTGACTTAGCAACTTAAAGCAAAAACTGTTATTGTTTAGTCATAGTTATTTCCTTTATGTTCCTTACCATATTTTATTGTTAGATTAATTATATGTAAGTGACAAGAATCACAGTATACATAAAAAAGTGTGCCTTGAATAGTATCTGAAGCTCTGGTTGGCTGCAAGTCCAATGGTGTAGTTAGAAAACCTTCCCCTGAGAGTTGAGAGGATCCCCTGATACTGGTTGTGTCTGAAGTTAGAATTGATACAAATCATAATAATTGTCTGCACTTTTGGTGATTTTCCCCTTTAACACCTGTGCAACAGCAGATTTTTTGGAGAGGAAGAAAGACTAAGATATTTCCTGCTAACCATAACCACTTTTAATATCCCCATATGTATATTTTTATAAATATTTTATTAGATTTTATAGGGTAGGGAAAGGATAGGGTAAATAAGGATATGGGGAAGGGTGGGAATATCCCCATATTAATGGTTTGTTATACCAGGGCTTTTCAACCGGTGGTACTAGTGGTACGCGACCACCTGGCTGGTGGTACGCGGTGTCGCCTTCCCACTGCGGCGTCGGCTTCCTCCCCCCCTCCCCAGTTCACCTGCTTGTTCAAATTGAAAACATGCTGCTTGGCGACGGCCGGCAGGAACCCTACTGAGGGCGCGCGAAGAGCGCAGGCGCAGAGTGAAGCCCCGCCTTCCCCAGGGACTCATGTAGGATCCGTGTCGCCCTTCCCCCCTTCTTACTTCAGAAGCAAGTGCGAGCCTGAAGGGGACAGAGCCATCCACTTGCAGGTAGGTGTTTGAGACTGCTCGCATCGCGGCCCTGAGCGCCAACCTCACAACTGCCCCCTCCTTTCCCCCTTCTCTCTCTCTCGCGGCCTCACTCTTCCATTTTTTCCCTCTCCCCCCCTCCCGTGAGCTTGCGATACCCCTAATGGCCCTCACGTTGCCTCCGGGGGCTCGAGTCTTTCCCCCCTCTCCTCTTCCTGAGGTGCCCGGCTTTACAGAGGGGAAAGCAAAGCGGCCAGACGGCACGCACCCTCCCGGAGGACTTATCCCACAGCAGCAGGTGGGAGTCGAGGCCCACATTTGTCTTGCTGATGCTGATCAGAATGGCGACTCGGGGGCTGGCTGTGGGTGGAGGGGGCTGCTCCCTTCCTCCAGGCTCACTGAGCTCAGCTCTCCACTCCCCACTCCCGATACTGATCGAAGTGGCCACAATGGTGCTGCACACTCAGTGTGCTGCACATTCAGTAGCCACCCCTCAAGTGCCACCCCCTGCCCGGCACTCATTGACCACTACATGCCTGTCGGGTGCAGTGCGGTCTCATCAGGCCGCGGCGGCGGCTTGAGGCGATCGGCGCCTCGTTTGCTCAGGCCAGCTGCCCGTGATAGACATCTGATGGTGACTTGGGGGACAGCCGTGGGTGGGGGTGGCTGCTCCCTTGCTCCGGGCTCGCTGAGCTCTGATCCCGATCAAACATTCCAACGCCCACTCGCTGGGAAACCGATCCGGGCACTGCAGCAGAAGCCGCAAGCTGTGGGAGATCCCTGCCGCCAGAGCCGGCTACAACGGAACACTAGCCAGCTGCTTCAACCGGGCATCAGCGGCCTCCTCGGGATGTCCTACCCATTGGTGATATTGCTGTGCCACATTCCATGACGCCAGGGAATCCCCACCGGAGCCTGCCACAATGGAGTGCCGGCCAGCTGCTCTAACCAGGCGCCAGCGGGCCTTCCTAGGGTGCACCGGAGTCCCGCACGCCACCCAGTAAGCTGCCGTCAGCTATTCTTCCTGTGTGGTGTTTATGGCGTCCGGCTGCATCGGCGTCCGGCTGCGTGTGCCCCCTCCCTCATAGGAATGTCGAGCCCACGGGGCTTGACAGCCACAATGGTGCCGCACACTCAGTAGCCACCTCTCAAGCATGACCCCCCCGTCCGGCACTCACTGGCCATTATGTGCTGCCTGTCGGGCACAGTGCGGTCTCATCGGGCTGCGGCGGCGGCTCGAGGCGATCGCTGGCTCAGCTCAGACCAGCCGCCCGATTGGTTGGCTCCCTCATTGTGTTCCTCCCCCACAGAAAGGGCATGGCTCTTCATGCAGGCTTGCCCCCTCGCGGGGCTCTTGATTGGCTCTGCGCCCCACCCCCTGAGAAGTGTGGCTAGGAAGTCCCTTTCCCGGGGAGCCGTGCAAACTTGGCACTACCATAGGCCCTGCTGGCTGGGAAGGTGCACCGGAGTCCCGGCTGCTGGTAAGGCGATTGGCTCGCTCCTCTCCCATCGCCCACTCTGCCTGGCTTGAGCGTGGCTGGAGCAGCATTGGTACTTCCAATGGCCGCTTCAAGGTCACACGTGCAGCCCTCGGCTACTCCCCTTCCCTCCGTACTTCCAAATCGATCTCCGATCGGAGAGAGAGAAGGAGGGAGGGAGGGACAGAAAGAGAGAGGGAGAGAAAGAGGGAGAAAGAGAAAGAGGAAGGGATAGAGGGAGAGAAAGAGGGAGGGAGAGAGAGAAAGAGGGAGAGAAATAGAGAGGGAGAGAGAGAGAAAGAGAAAGAGAGAGGGAGAGAGAAAGAAAGAGGGAGAGAGAGAGATTAAATTAGTAACATGGTTTATAAAAGACACTGCAAAACTAAGGTCAAAGATCCAGAATTTTTGGCATCATTCTACACCTGTTTTTTTATGTGGGGTTTACTATGCCTTTATAAAGATTATAAGGAATGCTTCAAGAAGCATGTTGGTGCAAGTAAAGCACTCTTCCTTAAAATGTTGAGGCAAGCAAAGCATCCCTTTGTCAGAAGGTTCAGTGCAGTTGCTTCAGGGTTCCTGGGTTTACCTGCATTTATGTGCAAGCACAGACAACACTTTTGTCAGATTTGCTGACCAAGTAAAACAGATGTGCATACTCACGCGGGTGGAGTTGACCTGGGAAAACTGTCAAACTTTCTTCATTGACTGAAAAACGAATACAGTTGTTCATTCATAATATTTTGCTTTCTAATTACCCTTTTCACTGTTCTTGCACAGGTTTAGAATTTACAAGTTAACACACTTTTTTCATTTTATTTCTGTGTTGCATTTCACAGAATTTGTCATTTTCCTGAAGTATAAATGCTACCTTTAGTTGCTACCGGGAACTATAAAAACAGTACTTTTACTTTACTTTGGTGTTGGTCTTTGCATATTAGTGGATTTAAATATACTTGTTTTGCATTGAAGAACTGAACTACACTATGAGATATTATTGAAAAGTGAAGATTAGGTAGCAGGAATAAAATGGCCGAAAAGGATAGATGTTTATGGTAAAGGGGAACAAAATTTAAAAGGACATAAGACAGAGTTTAGTAAAATTATGGAAACTTGTGAGAAAAATAAGTTCAAACATTTCACTGCTACCCTCTCATTTAAATGTTTTTTATCCTAGAGATAATTTTACAAATGCAGACGTGGTCCACTCAGATCCCATAAATATACAGCAAGAATTACCTGGCAGAGCCCAAAATATACCTAGACATTGTTGGAAGAATAAAAACTGGGCTCAAAAAAGAGGAAGAACTTCTAGAAAAATGAATTGAAATGCTCATACAGAATCAAGACCACCTATTGGGGTTTGTGTTTGTGTACACTGTTACCTAGATGTCTTATGAAGACAGAACAAATAAAAAAATGTATGATAAAATGGATACAAAAGTTCAAAGAAACAGTCACAATAAACAGTGGGAAAAACTATGCAACAAATCTATAAAATTCAAGAGAAAACTGGTATAAAAGCTCTAACCCTAACCCTTCAATAATTGCCAAAATAAACAAATCACATAATAACAGATGCAGGAAATGTCATGACACAGAAAGAAGATTTTACCATAAGTGATTGACATGTCAAAAAAACTCAAAAGTACTGGAAAGAAGCACTAGACAGATATTAGAATTGCAAATGAAACCTCTTTTGTTTTATCTAGGTCTAATTCCAAGCTATCCTAATTCCAAGATTTATCAACAATCCCCTAAACACCCCCCCCCCACACACAATTTATTAAAATGCATGTTCATGGCCGCAAGGATAAATCTAACAAACACAACACTAGTAATGTTACTGATGGAATTTAAATTTGGAGAATGTGTAGTAATGATAAAATTATCCACATATATTCATCACAAGCTTGATCAAATTTAAGCGAGAATGGCTTCCATACATATTATTTAGCATGCAGCAAGACAGATTTAAGCATTTAGGAGAAAAAGAATTGACGTGAAATTAGACATGAAAAAATTTAAATGTTTATAAATATTAAATATCAGTTGGAACAAAATAAAGGGAAAGTTAGAAATCAAACCTATATCTTGTAGTAGTTTTTCTTCTCCCCTCTTTTTTTATAGCATATTTAACAAAATAGCACTCAACTCAGAGATTGAAAAAAGTTCTCTAAAATCCTTTTCCTTATGTTAAAAATAACTTTTTGGGTTATTTTGGACATAACTTCTTTGTTCATTTATTGATATATTTTTTCATCAATTATTTTTGTTTGCCTTTTTTTAGATTAAAAAAAGAGAAACAGAACTGCAAAAAGCTATTTCTATTATTCTCTAGTTAACCCTTCCTATGTAGAAGCTGACTTTTTACAATAGAAAGTTTTCTCTTCAGGAGAGTCTAGAATTCATAAGCTTATTTCCCTAGGAATTATTCTGTACTTAATAGGTTTTTAATACAAATTAGGCATGCACATGTTTCCTTGTACTTGCAGTTCCTTGTTAAGAACTCCGTCAACCTTTCTTTGCAAACAAGAGAGAAAGGATTTCTAGGATTTCTTTCAGAGTTCTACATCAATTCACACATGCTAGTTTAAACAGATCCATCCTCTGTATAGCAGTAATTTATAAATACCAGGCAATAAGACACAGAACTCAGTGGAACTTATTAAGTGATACTTACAGGTGTAACCTTGTGTTCAAGGTTTTTTTTTGGTTGCCTGCTAATTGGAAGGAAGGGATCATCTTACCTTTCTGGGAAGAATAAAAGAAAGAAACAGTTGAAAAGATGAGATGCAGGCATTGCTGCTAAAAAGCAGAGAGGTTTTTAAAATGTTAGTCATGGTTTGGGAAGGATTGCTTACTTAATTTATTTTTTTATTATTATTTTTATAGCTTTTCTCTTGTCTCTAGTCACATCTGGTTCCCTTTTTTCCCCTCACCTCACCTCATCTCCATCCTGTTTTGTTAGTAGCTTTCTCTTTCCATGCAGCCTATTGTCCATTTCTTTTACTTCATTACATGTTATTTATTTTTTGTTACCTCTGCTTGATGAAATGGTAGATGCATGCATTTAATGGGTTTGAGAGAGGCTTATGTATGTTGTATGCGTGTATAGAAGGTTGGTAGGGCTATGGAAAACATTCAGAAGGAATGTTTCTCAGTGTGCTGGTTCACGTATTAAGCACTCTTATTTTGAATTTTTAAAGCAGTTGTGTTATTTGCAGGGGTTGCACATCTTCTTAGGAAGCTACTCCCGAGGTGTTTCTCATGCAAAGAAGCTGGAGTCAAGTGGCTATGCATGTGCATGCATATTTAATTGCATACCAAGAAATCTCTGGGGTATGATTAGTCTACCTCATATTCCTTCTCTTTATAGCTCAGAAAATAAGGTTTTAGATATTTAGGTGCATAGGGGTACATATTTCCTTAATGATGTAAAAGGAAACCAAGCCAGCTTGAAAAGCAAAAATGAAGATTTATTGAAAAAAAGATAAAGTAGGGCAGGGAAGGAAGCATAAAACTCAAGAGTTCCCATATCAGAAG